TCTAGACGAAGAGTTTAGTTAATGGTAGAAGAAAGAATTCTACAAATCATAATTGAATAACATAAAGAGGAAGAAGAAATAAAGTCAAGTGAAGCTTGAATTAATCCCCCTTCTTAATTTTCTTCTTAATCTTTTAATTGATTTTCTCCTTCCTCCTCGGTTGAATTGTCCTTGAAAAGTGGCTTCTAGATTGATATTTGTTCCTTGAAGTCCTTGGACGAATTGGATTGAAATTGGGTTTTTAAGAGATGAATTAAACTTGAAAAAGCCTAACTCTACGTAGCTGCGTAGCGCCCAGGTGCCTGGGCACCACAAATCTGGGTCAAACTGGCACCTAGGAGCAGACTTTCGGGAAGTAGTTAGCAATGTCCCTCAATGCCTAGCCGCTAGCGTTAGCTCGTTTGCATTGCAAAACCTTTAGTATTTTTATCATAATTTTTTTTCCTGATATCTAATTGAGTCGATTCAAAGTGCCTTGAAAAGATAACTCAAAGGAATACAACTTTACTTTAGATAGCTCTTTCCAGTTCGAACGTTTACTATGTCAAAAATAGGTCTCAATCTCCAGCTAAAAATATAAAATATACTTGTAAGGTTGAAAGTTGATTTGTGAAAATATTTTGATCATATTTAACTCATTTTTGACTTCAAATTGTATCAGATTCACTCTTAAAAATCTTCAACTATCATTTTGTGGTCCGAATTAACTATAGAAAAGTTGCAATTGAGTCCTTAAAATTTAAATTTCACTACTTTTTCGTCTTTATTCACTTCTTTGTTTCAATTTAGACTCCAAAAATCAAGTTTCACCAACTCTAAGAATCAAACGAAATATGAATATTAAGTGGCATTAATATGATGAGTGTGTTTCATTCATCATTAAACACTAGCTGCACTACGCAACTCTTAAAACTATATCCAAAGCTATTTAAATAAGATTGTCTTCAGTGAACAAAAGTTATTGAATATCTAATAAACACTCCGTCTACACAATGCTAGATGTAGAGGCACAAAATAGATCGATATGAACATCACTAGCAAAGGAAAAGAAGCATACTCGTAGGGGCCCATGGAGAATAAGCCTACCAACGAACACATCTATCAACCATTCTGACAAAAATTGACTTTATTACTTTAATATCCTATTTATTATTATGTATGTTGCCTGAGCTGAGGTGATTGAGCTTCAAGCAGCAGGGATTGAAGCGAGGTTTTGCTCTTTGTTTTCTTTCGAGTGTACTCAAATTTTCATTCAAATTCTTAATATTCTGTGCAAGTCTACGTTTTTTGTCGCCGATTCTCTTATTTTCTTTAACTACAATCATTCATTTCAAATAAACATTTTTACAAATTTTGCAGCAGCAGTTATACTCTTTCAAGTAATTGTGGAGCAGGAGAACATATCATTTTCCTGCTTCGCCTGTGCAGAATGCCTCTGCTGCTCTACTCTTTCCAGATGAAATGACAACTCGAACAAATCGACTGTTTCTGCAACTTCGGGAGAACTATAATTCTTAGCAGTCATAGCATTTGATTCTTGAAAAAGTTCATCCATTCTGCAGTTAGTACGATTATCTTCTTCGAAGATCAGAGGAAAAGCCTTTGGACTGCCTGCATAATTGCTCAATATGTTGTGCGACAGAAGAGAGAGAGCACGCCCGGAGTTTGAGCCCTGAGATAATTCTTGAATCGATGATGGTGAGTCCAGACAGTTTTTCGAATGATATTGAAATGGCTTAGCACACGATTGCCAGAATTTCATGGGCATGGCTAATTCGGATATTTGATTTGCCCCCCCTTCATATTTGATACGCTTGCTGCAGTTGTTGTTTGGCTCATCGAATCGTTGAGGAAAGAAGCCGCCAGGAAGATTTCCCGATAAAAGGAAGGACGATCTTGATAAATCTGCTCCCATCAACGAGGGACCTGCAAAATGTGCATTTTAGAAGACGAGATATTTATATGAAATTTGTTTTTTAAGTCTTTGACATTAACTCCACTTGCCAAGCCTTCGTCTACGAAGAATTTATAAACGGTTTAGTTTATTAATATAAAGAAATGAGTGAGGGATGAGTAGATAGTACTTGTGGATCCATTAAAACCTATAGATGAAAATAAAGTTTGACCATTTATAAATGATTTATGAATTTTGCCAAACGGAGGCTAAGTCGAGAACTTGAATACTCTCAACAAATGCTATGCCTTAATTTCGTATCACCATCACTTTGTCTAATTTTAAGTACACAAACTTAAAGTGAAATATTTTGAAAGAGGAGTTTCCAAATCTTAAAAACACGATGTAGCGTGAAAAAAGATTAATTTAACAGCGTTCAAGTAAAGTCTACAGCATACCAAGGTGAGTATCCAGTTGAAGCTTTCGTCGACGCTTATTGTGCCCTGCTAGGCTCTTACGACAACTTCGTTTACCCTCATCAAATTCTGCCAGCACTTGAAACCTGTAATGCAAAATGATAATATCAAATTCCTACAAGAAATATCAGTAACGAAATAATTTTGAACTCTGTTATGTTAACCAGTTAGATAGTAGCTAACTTAGGAGCAAAAGCCCACAAATACTACTGACTTCTGGCCTGAAACCATACAGATTGTTCACTCATTTTCTTTAGCTCAATCTTTATCATGCATCTATCCCCCTCTCTCTCATCTACTTACCAATAAAAAATGGACAAGATTTTACAGGTTGAAAATAAACCAGTCAAACAGATTTAATTAATAGTTTTCATGCAAATAAGTTATAGGCAATCAAACATACCCTTATCAAAACAATACATAGGTAAATTGCAAAATTCAAAAACAACAATAACTTAATCCCCAATGAAAAGAAAAAGTGCAATTATAATGACCATGTGAAACAAGATGAAGCCAGAAGGTGTATATCCACCTGCTACATTGCTGACAGAACCTTTGCTCAATGCCATTAACGATAACAACAGCAGTCTTTGAGTGAACATCGCATACTTTATGTCTTTTGTGATAGTCCTTTGAGGAACTTAGATCCTTATTGCAACCATACACTTGGCAGACTGGCAGCCGCGAATGCAAATTCGTACACAGTGATCTTTTTGCAGGTAACTGGGACTCTGGAGAAGACGAGACGGACTTTTCCCTTGAAACTGAAGTTCCATTGATTTCTCTCCTAGCAGCCAAATTCTCCACCTCCAAATTAATCTGTGGCAATGTCTTATCTCTGGCTCTAATGGAAGAACTCGAAAATCTTCCCAATTCCATTTCCCCCGGAAACAAGTTAAAAATACTAGTAGATGTTGGATTATCATCCGTCTCTGCAGTTGAACACCAGGCCGGACCATCCAGAAGCAAATTTTTCGTCATATGAGGCAAACCGAATTCTGTAAATTCTGTTCCCCCATTTCCTTCTCCAATAGGAACTAACATGTTCTTATCGAAATCAGAAAGTGGTTTCATATCTCCTGGGAGTTCGATATCGTCTGAAAACAGCAGTCCTCTCCCCTCAAAAGCATAGCATAAAGACTCCATCAACAAACTAAAAGTGCTGACTTGAATCAGAAACACATTTTAAAGTCAACAAACCTTACAATACCAAATCTATCCTCTTAATTTATGATTATGCACAAAATCAAAGACAGATAATGATGCATCAATATGAACAATACTATTCAGTTTCTAAGAAGAATCAATACACCCAATAAAAAAAAGGAAATACGGGAATAACTGCATATCCTTTTTGTTGTTTAAAGCCCAATTTAGCCTTTTTAGATACAGTATAAATTCACAGCGGCGCAAACTAAGAAAATAAAGTACGTACTTTTTCATTTTTACATCACAATTTAGTCTTAACGATACCATGTAAATTCTACATATGTACTGTGAGAATCCCACAATAAAAAATAAGAGCAAAAATATATGAAACTTATAAAATCAAGAAATCTATGCAAATAGTTAGGTACAGAAATGCTAAAAAGCTTCTAAATAGTACCCAATAAAGAACAAAATTTCAATAATCAGATTTTGAAGTAACAAGAATATGATCAATAATCAAGAAATTAGAAGCCCTCAAAACATAACAACAGAAAAATAAGCAATCAGAAGAAAGCCCACGTCAGAAAACAGATCAAAACAAGTAATATACACATCTAATAGCAAAATAAACCCAAAAATTTCATCCTGAATCATAAATGAGGAGAGTGGTCAATACTTACCAGATGAACAGTGATTAAAGAGAGACTGAGAGAAAGAGTGAAATGCAGAATGTCTTTTAGTATTATGCATTAATTTATTCAAAGAACAAGGTCTCAGGAGATACAGTGAGAGTCAACATCATTTCCACTACGCCACTTGAAAATGAGGTAAAATCCGGGTCTTTTATAGCATTTGATACGGTATGCATGTTTTTGCGTTAGTGTGTGAGAGAGAGAGGATAGAGGAATGATCAAAGTTGTAATTTCCAATTGTGGGAAAATTAGGTGCGTCTAATCCCCACTGTTCTTGAATTAGATGTATCTGATCCTCATGAGAAAACAGATCAAAACAAGTAATATACACATCTAATAGCAAAATAAACCCAAAAATTTCATCCTGAATCATAAATGAGGAAAGTGGTCAATACTTACCAGATGAACAGTGACTAAAGAGAGACTGAGAGAGAGAGAGTGAAATGCAGAATGTCTTTTAGTATTATGCATTAATTTATTCAAAGAACAAGGTCTCAGGAGATACAGTGAGAGTCAACATCATTTCCACTACCCCACTTGAAAATGAGGTAAAATCCGGGTCTTTTATAGCATTTGATACGGTATGCATGTTTTTGCGTTAGTGTGTGAGAGAGAGAGGATAGAGGGATGATCAAAGTTGTAATTTCCAATTGTGGGAAAATTAGGTGCGTCTAATCCCCACTGTTCTTGAATTAGATGTATCTGATCCTCTCTGTTTCCCACCAAATTCGTCCAATAGTAGAAAACAGTCATTTTCCATTGTTAATCGAGTATAATTGGTGTTTTTGTTTTATAATAATCCGCTGATGATTGATTGATTGAACGGTTATTTAGAAAGTAAATTTATGTAATCATTGTAGTTAGGCTAATTGTAGTTTCTTGTAAAAATGAGTAATGCCATTCATAGTTGCTCACTGCAGTAGTCGTCTTATGTGACATATATATGACAGATAATTATTTGATGCATTAATATAATAGTTTTTTTATTCATTAATGCATCAAATAACCACCTGCTATGTGTATGCCACGTAGGGTGACTGCCGCAGTGAAAGACTGTAAATAGCATTATTCTATAAAAATAGTTTGTCTTCGTAAAAGATTTTAGTCCTTGTTTGGTTTTTGACAAAAATCAAAATCAGATTTTTTATTTTTATTTTTTTTATTTTGATAAAAGTTAGGGAAATATGCGACAAAAAAGTTGTAGATCTTATAAATATATGATTAAAAATAATTGTTAACTTTGATTTTTATTTTAATTCAAAATTTTAACTGAATCAAATAGAACCTTAATATGTATCCTATATAACTTAACTTTGTATTCTATTGTTTTTGTGTATGAAATGGATATAACTTCTCTACATGATGTCAAGGTCAAACCCTAATTGTTGACTTTGAAGCAAGGCCTACTTGGCCACTTACAATTGTGATTACTTTCAGAGGCTACCAGAGTCGTGAAACCATCTAAAAGAACTCACAAGCTTTTCTTACTTTTGGCGTGACATTATTTTGAGGTCCTTGACTTGAGAACCCTATCAAATGTTGTCATGAACATTACCAAAGGTTTTCTGAGTCAGAAAACCATCTAAAGGCAATCTCAAATCTATTGTGACCAACTCTTTTTTGCAAATCCCTCGTGTTGAACTCCACATCTAATCACATTTAGTCTTTGTTGCAAACCATAGAAGACATGACCCACTTCGACGGCGTTCACGAAATGACTTGCTGTTTCAGATCGTGATCAATTTATGTGGGCCTTCTAGTCCTCTATTGTGGCCCTCAAATTTGGTCCTCAATGACCCTTGTTCAATCAATGTCTGGTATATGAAAAAATTACCTTAAACCCAATTAAATTTCAAATTCAAAATTCAAGTATAATTAGATAATAATTATTATTTAAAATGTCTATATGTAATTTCTTTATGTACCCTTTCTTTACAACTAAGGCGATGATGGTTGTGGATTTTAGATTGTGGTGGCAGTGATTGGTTGGCGTTGTTGGTGGTAGAATGGGGTGGGGTGAGGTGAAGTGAAGTGGACATTGTAGATTTTAGGTGAAAGGTGGCGGTAATTGTAAATTTGAGGTGATGTTAACGGTGATTTTTGCTGTGGCAATGGTGGTAGGTTGAGATGGGGTAAAGAGTGTATGTGACCAGTTAATTGATTAACTTACAACTAATAAATAATTTATGACTTATTAAATGTGTGATCGTTAATTAAAATACGTGATTATGACATACAAATTGTGTTTTTATGAATGTGATATTGTGATTGGTACTTGACTGTGACCATAAAATGTGTATTATTGTGAACGTGGCAATAAATTGTGTATTTTTGTGACTGCGATTCAATTATTAAATTATAGGTCATAATATTTTGTTAGATGTCAAAAAATTGTAAAATTTTCACATTATTATTTTTTAAAAATATATTTTGAAACCTTTGTAATTAGGTATTTTCCATCAATCATACTACAGGCACATCATGTTTGACATCATGCGAGTTGGCAAATTTTTGTACATTGATTTTAACAACACTTTTTCCAATCAATGACTAGATTTTAGACACATAAGTAGGATGTTGGCCATATCAAGGCAGAATGTACAAGAAGTATAATTCTTTTTTCATTCGTATTTTTGGTTGATTTAGGCCTTGTTGCATGGTGTCCATTTTTAGATGCTTCGGCCCAGTCATTTAGGTAATTTGGTTTTTCCTAGTTTGGTGATTTTTGAATTGATTTCTTGTTGTTATATTGAGACTTTTTTAATCAGTTATTTTGGTGCTTAATGCAAAGTGAAATAATTTTTTCCCTCTTCTGTGTAACAAAACGGGATATTGACAAAACTTCCACCATATTACAAATAATGAGATTAAAAGACTCACAATAACATCAAGAAAAGAAATAATTTCTTAGCTAACTAGAGGCTTTTTTTAAAAGGTTGAACCCCAACCTTGAGGGTCCCCCACCGTCCCTGTCCTGGAGCATCGTGAGGGAGGTAAATCGTAGGTTATGCCTCCAAGGGTACAGGGTGGAAGGCTGTTTGTACACTTGCACTTACTCAAGAGCCAAATCCATATTTTTGGATTCGAACCCTTGACGCAGCAGCCTCAAGCAAAACTGGATTTCTCCACTCTTCCCTTTTACCATTTGGAGATGTGCCCTGGGGGCTAACTAGAGGCTTTTTTTTTCTTTCTACACAAGGTGGAGTTCTTTCACAATTTTCTCTCATAATCTCCCTAGTAAAGGCTTTCCAAATTGTGTTGAAGTATGACAAGCTCTTACCTTTTTTTTTTTTTTTTAAATAAGAAAACACTGGATGGAAGAAGATAATTTGAACTTTATTTCATTTTCTTGTCAAACTTTTCCATTGGTTGAAAGAAGACGATTTGAACTTTATTTTCTTCTTATCAAACTTCTCTATCGGTTGGAAGATTAAAAACTGTGTTTTACTTCATTCTTGCCATTTATCTTCATCAATGGAGGAAGCAAAATTAATTTTCTTTTCCTTGAAAATTTAACAAGATTTAAAATAAAATTGGTTTTATCCACCTTACATATGGCGAACTACACAACAAATCTCCCCCTCGGCCTCTGTGGTGGATTCCATTAAACACGCTTTTTACATATAAGTTTCAAGTTTCTCCTTAGGCAAACATTTCTTTAACATATCTGATCTATTATTGCTTGTATGAATTTTCTCTAAGTTCAACTGCTTGGCTTCAAGTACATCACGAATCCAACGGTATTTGACATATGTTTGGATTTGGAATGAATTGTTGAGTTCTTGGAGATGTGGATATCACTTTGACTATTACAATAAACAACATGCTTTTCTTGTTGTAATCCTAATTCTTGAAGAAATTTCTTTATCCACAAAGCTTCTTTACAAGCTTTAGCAATTAGCAATATATTCGACTTCTAGGATGATAGAGCTACACATTTTTGCAACATGGACTGCCAGAAAGTAGCTTTCCCTGAAAAGGTCATCAAGAATCTTGATGTGGACTTCCTAGAATCACTATTACCTGCCATATCCGCGTTTGTATATTTGACTAAAGCAGGTTTACCACCGCCAAAGCACACACCCACCCTGGAAGTACCTCTTAGATACCTAAATATCCATTTTATTGCTAACAATGTTTTTTTTTTCTAGGATTTGAAAGAAATCGACTAACAATTCCAACCAGTGGCGGATCCAGCACCTGGCGAGCACCAGCGACTGCGCGTGCTGGATCCGGCGGCAGCCATTTTTTTTGGTTGAGAATAGATGAATGTTTTTAGGTTATATTTATGTTTATCATTTTTTTGTTCAACCATACCCTCTGGCCAAGTTGGTGAGTGTCGGTTTTTACTTCTTGGAGGTCCCAAGTTCAATTCTTCATCAATCAACTTTTTTGTTCTATTTTTTTAGTATTACAACCAAAAATTAATGGAATGAGGAGGAGGGGATTCGAACCTGGGGCTATTGTTAAAATTATTAATGGTTTGAGTATTATGTCGGTCGTTGAATTGTGATAATAGATTTAACAAATTTTTATATATTAGATCTTAGCTTGTTTTAATGCAACAATACAAATTTGAACTTGTGCTCTTCTTTTGAATTATATAAAATTTGGCAACGATATCATTTGATGAATATAGTTTATTGTTTTAACAAAATTATATATGTTGAATTTTAACAAAATAATCGTTATGTTTAAATTTTAGGTCTTGCTTGATTCTCATTTATTTCAGAATATATTTTTCTCTCTTTTATTTTCAACAATATATTTTTCAATAAAATAATATTAAACGAAATTCAAAAATTTTTCTTATTTTTAACCAAATATTTTCCATCAAATCACTATTTTCCAAAATGCATTTTTTGCCAAAAAAATAAAAAAAAATTACATCAAATGAGCTTGTAATATTTTATTGGGCCGACGATTGGCCCTCAACGGTCGCTCGTGCTGACTCAAAATCCTGAATCCGCCACTGATTCCAATGACGTGAGCAATCTTCAATCTTTTACACACCATACATACATCAAAAAGCTAATTGCAGATGCATAAGATACTTTACGCTTTTATTTTTTATTTTTTCGTTTAGCTGTTAATTTGAAGTGACTTGCGAGTGGAGAAGAAATGGGTTTTGCCTTATTCATGTTAAATCTTTCAACAACTTTTTCAATATAGTTTTCTTGAGATAGCTACAACTTTCCATTCTTCCTACCACGTGATATTTTCATGCCGAGAATTTGCTTTGTGGATCCAAAGTCTATTATTGCAAAACACTTATTTAACTCATTTTTATGTTTGGCAATCATGTTGATTTTCTGACCAACAATCAACATGTTGTCAGCATATAGTAGGAGAATAATATAATTATCAACAGCAAATTTCTTCACAAACACACAGTGATTTGACATTATTTTGTTGTATCCCTAACTATATATAAAATGATCAAATTTATTATGCTACTATCTTGGAGCTTGTTTGAGTCCATATAAACTTTTCTTAAGATTGCGAAAAGATTCTCTTTCCCTTCGACTTTGAATTTTTCTTGTTGCTTTATATAGATCTTTTCTTCTAGGTCACTATGTAAAAAGGTTGCTTTTAATCA